CAGTGGTTAAGGCAACACACGGCCTCAAAAACGCCGTAGAGAACGCAACAGGAGAAAGCCTAGATAGTGTGTAAATTTCTACAGGATGCCGCAAAATGGTGATAATGCAATCAATTACGGGGTATACTGATATAAATAACTATGGCAATGTAAATGTCCCTTGGGAATCGACGCTTTGCCTCCGTAGTCGCTGCTCCTCGATTGATTTGCATTGGGCCAGCATCTGGACAATGGCAGAGCGTGGGCACGCAGTTCGGATATAATGGGCCTATAATGGCAGTGATCAACACAAGTCCATGGATACTCAGAAAGGGTGGACGTACATTGAGTAGCTCATCAGGATCGGGTCTTGAGCCAACAGGTTGAGAACATAGATGCAAAAAATCGTGAAAAGATCGTGAAAAGATATCGGGGTTAGAGAGCGGCGGGAGTTGCTGGCCAATCTGCCTAGTGTCCTGAACGTCGGAGAAGGGAGGCTCTCCCTCCACAAGCTCCCAGGTAGTCGCACCCAAAGACCAAACATCAACCTTGAGAGGATCGTAAAGACCGCTATAGAGAATGGTAAGTTCGATGTCGATAAGACATAAGTATGCTAACTCACGTTCGCATTTCTGGTGCCTAGAGTGCGCGATACGTTAGCAATATGACGACGGCGATCTTGTAAAATTTCTACTTACCTGCCAGTAGATGACCCCCACGTTTTCAGAAGATTTGGGGGTCCCGGGCGGTGCGCGCACGGCGCTGGAGAAATCGGCTGGAACGAAAGCGTCAGAGATCTTCACGGACGAAAGGCGCAGGGACATACAAATTTTCAACACCCCGTCTCGGTTCAGCAGCAGGTTGTCCGACCGCAGATCCCGATGAGCGATGTGCTGCTTCCGAATATACGACAACGCTAACAGTACCTGTTAAAACAATCAGCACATGCAAGAAACAGAACATTCCAGAGGTAACTCACATCCCAGACAAACCGCGCCACCATCTTCTCACCCACAACCAACTCTTCCCCACCCTCTTCCGCCTGCACGCCCAACACATCCGCCAAACTTCTCTCCATCAGCTCCATCCCAATCCATAGACTGTCCTCCACAAGGTCCACATACAGCCGCTCCATCTTCAGGATATTCGGATGCCGCAGATCCCGCATGAGCTCCAGCTCACGCCGCAGATCGAAAAGCTTGCTCGAGCCACTAGGCAAAATCGGTACACTCTTGATTGCAACGAGTTCTTGCACAGACGAGTCGGGGAACGGCGACGTCGGCGTCGGCGGCTTGAAGCTGTGCACCTTCCGTTGCCCAGGGGACGTTGCGACCACGAGTGCTGAGAACACCGAGCCCGATTCGCCCTCAGCAATCTCCTGCAGGTCGATGAAGAGGTCCCGCGGATCGATGCACTCGTCAATGAACTCTGCCAGTGGTTTGACCACCTCGGACAGCCACCCAGGATATCGTTGCGCATGCGGTGACGCCGAAGATGTCCCCGAACGAGGTGTGCTCGACGAAGCAGACCCGAGACTGCCTGCGCCAACTGTACTGGGTGTGATTCCGGACGGACTGACGACGTCTGTGGTGATGATGATCGAAGGCCGCCGAATATGAGCCCGCGCATCGACCTCGTCTGCCGGAGCCTCCAACGGCGATGCGGCAAGTGTTGACGGAGAGTCTGGACGTGCTGACGGTGACGATTGAACGTACGGCAAACCCGGACTCTTCAATCCACCGTCCTCCTGACTATTCGACCCTGATGTCATCGACAAAGTCTGTGCCGGCGAGCCTGAGAACCCGTAGCCTGAACCACCGGACCCAGTAGAACTGCGCGACGACGATCCAGAGCTTCGCCTTGACGCCGACTGCTCCACAAACGACTGGCGCGGGGTTACCTCCATCGTGGTCTGTCGCGGGACAGTAAGCCCAGTCTCCTCTTCACCCTCATCCAGCTCCTCCATCTGCATCAAGGCCTCGCGGTCCTTGCCCTTCATCTCTCTGGATGGACTGGCCACTACGTTGGCCTGTACGCGTCGTACGATGCTTGCACCGCGCACGATCGTCGCGTGTGTGATCGTGCTACCCGACGCGTTGGAATCGCGATCACTGTTCCGTCGTGGATCAATCCTGAGGGTAAGCTGCGAATTAGACGAGTCTCGTGCAGACGTGCGGCCCCTCATCGCGGCAGCATCCAGATGCGCAGAGAAATGTGGGGAAGATGGGCTACCAGGCAACAAAGGCGAGTCAGAGCCGATGATGGTTTCTGTAGAGACAGGACGAATCGGAGCCTGGTCTTGCATCATCCCCATGAGCTCGTTGTAGAGCGGAGAAGCAGAGAGGGTGTAATCATTCGGGTCGTCTTCGTCATCCTCCTCGGTTCGGGCTTTAGAATTCAGCAAGATGTCCGGGACCGGCTTTGGCAGAGGTTTCCTCGACGGCGAAGATTGTAGGTTCAGAGGTGGAGTGGAGGCGGGAGAAGCAGAGAACAGGCCGGGAGTTTCAGGAGTATCAGCAGGGCTGCCTTCGACAGATGAGGGGATGGAAGAGAACAGCGACGCAGTCCAAGTCGAAAGATCGTCGATGGCATCCTTCCGCAGGGATAGGCGAGGGGGAAGAATGGATAGCCGCGGCGGTCGACCATGTCGAGGGCTCGGATGTGGCGAAGGCTCTGGCGAAGCCTCCGGTGAGGGCTGCGGCGAAGTTTGCGGCATTTGCGGCTCCTCCTGCCTTACCTCTATCTGTGCCCAGCTAGCGTTCGCTGTCCTTTCCAATTCCCGCTCCGGCTGCGACGAAGACGCCTCTGTGGCAGGTCTGACCTTCTCTACAGGTAGCGGCCTGGCAGCATCCGCAGCCGTGAGAGCTGGAGGTGTCTCGTTATTGCCAGTAGTGAAATCACTATTCATCGGAGACACATAGGCTGGTGGAGGAGACCTTTGTCCTGGAGGAGTTTCATTGATGACACGGAAAGGTCTTCTTGGTGGAGTCCTCGATGGTTCCTGACCTGGTTCTAACATCCGCGCCGAAGGCTCTGCGCGCATAGAGTCGGGGGAATGTGGAAAGGGGTTGGGTTGAAGTCCAGTGACTGTACTCTGGCTCACCCCTCTCCGACTCTGATCGACGAACACATATTGTGAATCGGAATGTGTGTCGATGCTGTCGGACGCGTCGAGCTCGAAGAAGGAATGATCGCCTGCGTTGGCTGCGGTTAATGATTCTGAAGCATTAGAGAACTTTCGTGGTGGTGTCGGGAGAGGAGGAAGAGGGGGTGCAGCAGGGCGATGTGACCGCTCAGACCGTGGTAACGAGACGTCCGACCTCTGACGTCGGAGTGAGCTAGAGCGAGGTCGCGGATTTATAAGAGTAGACGCAGTGATGGAGGCGGGGGAATGTGATCGTGAGTAAGACGAAGGCGCAGCAACAGAATCAAGGGCGGGTGAGCGCGTACGACGAGCCTGTTGAATGGCTGCTATCTCTGCTTCTGAGAAACCGGCTTCTGAGAGAGAAGTGGACCAGGATGGAGGGATGCCTTGCAAGCTGGAATGTTTTTGTCAGAAACATGCGAGTAACGAGAATCACCTGCTGCTCACGCTTCGTCGACATGCACATGATGCTAGGTACTTGTGAGTAAGTGGATTGTAACGCGCCCTGAGCTCGGTACTCACCTGGAAGTTCCAGGGCATAGAGATTGAGCCATCGTCTGGAGGATGCGACTCTTCCACAGGAGTTGTCCGAGAGCTCTTCGAGAACGACCGTTTGCGTATGCTAGCGATCTTAAAGAACCCCTTCTTGGTGTTTGCAGAATCTGGCGTAAGACCAGATGAGGAACCAGGAGACTGCGTCGTGCGACTGGGAGCAGGCGACGGGCTGCGTGCTGACAGAGAGTGCTGGTAATTAGAGGAGTATGGCGTCGGGGGCTGCGAAATCGAGTCGATAGAGACAGACTGGTTTGAAAAGGAGAGGACGGAGGGGTTGGAGGTGCTGTAAAGATAGTTGGGATCCTTTGGCGGTGGGGGTGGTGGTTTCGAGCCGGCGAACTTGAATACCTTGAAAGTCGAGAAACGAGAGGACTGCTTTGTCGACGTGGACGCCATTGACGGCCTGTGGTAGACAGTGAGCAAGAGGTGGTCCTCGTCGTCGTGCGCGTTGGAGAGGTCCCCCGCTTCCAAGACCAACGGGTCCTTTCAAGCGGAGTTTCAATCCACAGGTCCCCCACTTAGCCGCTAATTATCTTTTGCTCCCTCGTTGCTCCCAATCTGCCGGAAAATAATCCCCCGTGAGCGTGTCCCCGTGAGTCTCGGTGAGGCTTTTGATCCCTCGTCTTGGGGCGAGTATTTCCAATACTTGCCCTCCTTGCCAGCAGAACAGGGCCCTCACCTGGCACTTGTGCGGGCGGAAGTGTTCCAGAACGACTTTCTGCATCAAGTCGATTGTGAATCGTGATCCGTGTCTACGCCGTTGACCACACTCGGTCCGCACTATGTCAACGCCACGCAGTTTTCACGCTTCGCATTGGCAGATGCCCTGGTTCTCTATGATTGAGAACATTTCTCTACCTCCATGGAAGTTCTGGCAGTCGTTTCACAACGTTATGGTGGGACTGTAGTGTCGTGTGTTTCGCAAGCTACATAGCTCCCGCTTCCTGGATCACCACTCTTTTACAACTCTTCCTAGGGCAGACGAAGATCCAGGAACCGCGTTGTGTGTGTTTTGTAGATCGTGGTATGGGTTCTGCCTTTTCTTCTTCTGCGCGAACAGTTGATCTTGCAATTCACGTCCTTGCACGTCTTCCACTGTGATTCCTGTCGTTATGCCAGCTAAGTTGTCAAGGGGCATGAACGTGGTGCACACTGCACACGACTGCTGAAGGAATCTATCGCAACTGCCCAAGTTGAAAACGTCGATGTTGCGACGAGAACGTAATGAACTGGGCGATACAGTCTTTGTGAACGTCTGGCGAAGCCCTTGAATTACATATAGGGAGGAAGTTTCTTGGCGGAGACAGATGCACCAAAAAAGTGGACAGGAAGGGAGTCGAACCCTTGACCTCACGCAAGGAATTGCCCGTGTAACCGGAAACAATGCAAAGCGTGCGCGCTAACCACTGTGCCACATGCCCGTGTGGAAGGGTGGAAGAATATGGTATCTTGATGGTGCTACTAAGATGGGAGACCCCAAACTTCGAAGGAAAGGCGTCCGTCGTCCCCATGGCCAGTAACGACAACCGGCGGTCTTCATTTACTCCTTGCTCGTACCCTTAGCAGTAGTGAGTCGGGTACCAAACTCGGAAACGCGAACATCTTCCTTGAAGCCATGGTCGAATCGGATATCTAGCAGTGGTTTGCCGTGTGCAACTGACTTCTGCAGTATACCCCGGCCTCTGATGGTAGGTGACATCGGACCCAAAGTGCGGGTTTAGACTCCATGTGAAGAAGTCACTTTCTGCTTGCGCGCGTTACAGCCTGGACATTCGGCGAGTTCTGCAAGTACTCAGAAAAAAAGGTCCTATCTCCGAGCACGCAGCGGCCTGAGACAGACAGCAACAGCTACGGCGCTGTGTGTGATCGCAGTCTCCGCCGACGTCTGTGTTGCGTTTCGTCTCAATAACATCGCGTGATCACGTCCGGATGACGGGTCATATTATGCATCCAGCGCCAGTAAGTTAGCACAGCGCCCATGACAGGACCGCTATGCGGTCGGACATGCAGCCTTGACCTCTCGGAGCACCTCCCCAGCTCTGTGTTGGCGCTGTGGGTGTCAGTAGTGGATGGAGGATCCGTACATTACCTCATGCATAACGGCCTAACACTGAATCATTGACCGCTTTTTTCTGGGGCTCTCAGTTGTTCCGAAGTCGGTTCCGAAGGGCTGCGAGCCGGCAGAACATTGCATGCCAGCCAATTATGACTAGATGCGTCTATTATTTGTCTGCGTCTGAAGGATGGAAATAGTGGTGAGCTCTTATTTTTAACTGGGCGTATCCTATCCTCGACGATCTTCGTAGGCCCACTTCGAGTGAGACTCGAGCGGCATGGCTGTCAAAATTCATGTTTCATTCAATTCCATCGCCAGTGAGATATTATAAAATTCTATCTTAGCATATCTATCTTTTCTTAGCTAATACATTTTCCAAGACGAGACCTAGCTCTTCTCGCAGGGCTCCTCGGCGCGTCGCGTCCGCTTCGCGTCGCGCGACGCGATCACGTGAATGTACGCAAGTCACGTGCTCTCCCCTCCGGGCACTCGAATATTCTCGGCTTTTCTGAGCATTTCTCGAGTGTTCTCCGTGACTGTCGATTTGACTTGGCGATCCAACAATGGAAACGACGAACGGCGAATCGTCTCGAACATGTCGACGTCCTGTTTATAAACTCTTGCATCACTCTCCCGACTCCCATAAACCGCATCGTCGGACTATCACATCCACCATTCCTGCGCCCCTTTTCCGTCTTTCCCCCTGGGCATCGACGGACAGCACTCGATACACCACTAAACACACCGATGTTCAGCTATTCACCCTACAGCTATAACCCGTACGGCTACGCGTCACCGTACTCGTTGGCCGCAGCCCAACGCGAGCGTGAGCGCGAGGCCTACCTCCAGGCCGTCGCGCAGGAGCGCGCTCGTGCTGCAGCTCGAGCCAGAGCAGCGCAGCAGGCGCGTGCGCAAGCCAGCTGGAACCCATACACTGCGTACGACTACGACTACGACGAAGACAACTACCTGGGTGGCTACCACACGCCCGGCACCAGCTACGCGGACCGGATGCGTCAGGCCGAGATCGAGAAGGAGAGGCGGATGAGAGCAGCCCTGCAGCAGCTCTATTCGCAGAGGCGTAGAGACGAAGAGGACGCCGCAGAACGACCCTGTGTGGCCGACAAAGTCCAGGTAAACAACATCCATGCTATGTCTGAGGATGGCAGCGCTGACGGCACCTCATCCCAGCCTCAGCCTCAAATGAGACGCACGACTTCAGCGTCCCCGCGTCGCGCATCCCCACAACGCGCCGCCGAGCCGTCACACACGACCATACCCATTCGTTCTCCCTCTCCCCAGCCTCCCACCCACAAAGCTCGAACCCCTTCACCCCCACGCATCCCCACTTCTCCACCAGCCTCCCCTCCCAAACTCTCAGAAGAGCAACTCTCCGCCGGTGCCCGCATCGCCGAATTCTACCGCCGCGCAAAATCCATGCATGCCGTCCGCGCTCTCAACTCCAAATTCGAGGCCCTGCGCGCGCAGTTCGCCTTCCCACCCGTCCTCGACTTCGAACTCCCTGGCGACTCCGACGCCGTGCTCTCTATCCCAGCCGCATCGACACCCATACCCGAGGAGATGCCCGACGTCGACGCCCGCCTTGCTTATACCGCGCCGAATAAACCGCTGCACGCGTACACGGAGGCACTCATCCGGCTGCTGAACGAACTCGACGCCGTGCAGAGCTGGGGCGACCGGGCCGTGCGCGAGGAACGTCGCGACCTCGCCCGACTCGTGGAGGGCGAGGCCGCGCGCGTTGAGCGGTGGTGGAAGGGCGTGTGGAAGGCGCATTGCGAGCGTCCAGCGGATGTGGAGATGGGCGAGGCCGACGAAGGTTCCACGCTCCCGCTGCAGACAAGTCTACCTGAGGTGGAAGTCATCGAGCCCGTGCCTACCCTTCAAGATCAGCCACCCACGCCGTCTGCTACAGTCCCCGCTAATCCTCAAGTTTCGAGCGAATCTGCACCATCGACTGCCGTTGACGACGCGCCAATGGACGAGGATCCTCAGGCCCCGCGGTTGGACGACCCCGAGACACTCCCTATCATCGAGGAGCCTGCTCCTGGGGTGGCCTTCCTTCCGTCAGAACCGTTGGACGCACCATCGTCTTCCAACGACGCGATCGTTCCTTCATCGGACGACGGCGATGGTTTCGTCCTCATAGATGATGTCGATCACAAGTCGGAAGGTGGGGAGCTCCAGCTTGCTCCTTAGGACTTTGAATCCGTATTATTTCTGTTGGATTTACATACTGATCGCATTGTTATCCTGTACTTATATTGTTCTCTCATTCTTCTGCAATCCAGGACTCGGATAATTCACAAATCTTCTCGCTTGAACGTTGACAAGTATGAGGGATTTCCCGCCACCCCAAAGCCATCGTCTCAACGCGCACAATATCTCAAACGGTCAAGGAGATCCACGCAACGATACGATAGTAAGTCACCGCATCGCCGATGATCACTGCAAGCAATCTCGTTCCCAAGGCCAAGCCACGGACGACGACTAGAATTTCAGCGCATATATGTCTCTGACAGTTTTCAGACGATCAGGGATCGGCCTCCTCAACACAAGTCTCACCGATATCTTGCCTTCCCCTTTCGAAGCACAGGTGTTTGAAATTGGCTTGGAGTTCTCGTACTCCCAATGGAAAGTACTGCTCGAGACGGCTTTTGCCAGTGTGATCTTCGATCCTGTCATTGCCGACCGCGGAGACTTGGATCTCAGGCGACGGGAACGGTGCGTCGTGCCATCCTCCGCGCCGATGTTAGCACTCATCGCGAGCTGGGGGAGCTTATTCACGTACTAATTTCAATGTGCGGTCTCGCCCATACAGGACGCGGGACAGCGGTACATCGTCAGGCACACTCCAACTCAGCGCATACTCCCCTGCTTTGCTTCACGTCCATTCACATTATGCCAGGGTGCTAGGCCGCGTGCCGCAGGGCGGAAGGACTCTAGGGTTGCAGGTGCAACGTCTGGGAAATGCGTCGTACATCTCATGGCGCTTACAATCCCTGGCCAGTCAATTCTGTGATGAATTTGATCTGTGATAAATCTTCGTAAATATCTGATTCAATACTCGATCAACAGTTGTAGCGATTGCGATTGCGATTGCGATCGGTGTTCGCAACTTTCTGGTCAATTACATCTGTGGTTAAACACACCTGGAACAGGTCGCGAGCGGACAAGGCTTGTAGTGCTCTTTGTTTGCTAGTGCGCGACGCCTCTTCTCGCGAGAAAGTTGGAGCGGAGGAGCATTCGTACCGACGTGCATGAAAATATATCGGGGCGATTCTGAGCGAGATGTGCAAGACGAGCTCGAGGGACGAGCGTGCGACCTGTGCAAGCCAGTCAGGCGACACCAGTGGAGCAAACATCGTGTTGTGCTTCAAAGTTCCACGTTGGTAGCTTCTTCGCGTCGATATAATGGAGCCTAATTGATAACGAAAGATAGCATTAGCTGGGAACGGGGAAAGCATTGGGTACTTAGCGTGGCGTCCGCGAGATGTTGTCGAAATATTGCTTACTTCCTGACTGTCCTTCGAGTAACATTGGCAAGGAACGCGAAATTTGACGACAATTCGATCGGAATCCTTGTATACCACAATAGAAAGTACAACAGGCGTAAAGTACAGAGGAACATAGATACGACAGATCGCTACAGTTCGAGTGAAGGAAAACCAGAAGAAAACGACAGGAATCCAGGTACAAGGGAAGTCCCACCAGCGGCGAGAGACTGACGCTGAAACTTACATCCACGAGCCATGCACCATGGCATCCCACGCGCTCTTGCTCTGTAGCGTCGCGAGGAAATGTGCACGCTTCGCACCTGCCTCCGCCTCCGCCGCAGTCAGCGGAGTAGGCGCAACAGGCAGCGCTGTCTCGTCGTGACCATGGGCATGTGCATGCGGATGGTGCACGATCGGCGGCGTGGCCAACCCCGGCGTAGAGGCGGGCGACGGCGACGACGGGGGCGTGGGGTGCGTCGACGACGCGGACGACGACTGATCAGTACCAGAGTGTCAGTACAGTGCGACGAGCAAGGTGGTTCCGCCTACGGAGAGGCCGAGGCGCGAGGGCGCGTGGACATGCGGGTGCGCAGGGTGCGTCGGGAGGTGCGCGTGCGGGTGGGGGTGGTGGATGTGCGCGTAAGAGTGCGCGGGCGTCGGGTGTGGCGCAGGTGGTGGGAGTGGTGGCGTTTCAGGGCCAGAGTAGTACGACAACATCGGCGACGCTGTCCCAGAGCCAGAGTGGTTCAATGGGGGGCGTTTCTAGGAGTGGGAACGTGGCGGGCGCGTGAGTTGGAAAAAAAGCGAGCGTGAGACAACGACGCGGACTCACGGGCGACAGGATGCTCCC